CCGCAATGCTAAATTTGATTCGAGCGCAGTGATAGAGTCGTTCGACGTAACGTCTCTTTACACTAATGTGCAGAACGACCAAGCTTTGCAAGCGCTATCGGAGATGTTGGATAAATATGCTGGCACGATAAATATGTTTGGACTCAGCAAGGCAAACGCGATGGCCCTAGTAAGCGAGTGTCTGAACTGTAACATCTTCAGATGGTCTGGGACTTACTATTCCCAGATACGTGGATTAGCTATGGGCCAAAGACTAGCACCAGTTCTTGCCATATGCTTTATGAGTAAGATCGAAGAGCCGGTGTTAGCGCGAATGCCACTACTGTATTGTCGTTATATCGATGATTGCTGTGTTGTGACATCCACACAGTCTGAGATGGACAAGTGTTACGAGATTTTGAATCAGCAATCACGATACATCAGGTTCACGCGTGAGACACCACACGACGGATGGCTGCCTTATCTGAACGCGCAGATAAAGTTGACCGACGGCATTGTAAGCACCAAGTGGTACCGCAAGGAAAGCTCCAAAAACATCCTCATTAACGTCAAGTCCGCACACCCTGCATCTGTCAAACGTGCTGTCCTTAAGAATATGTTCAGAACGGCAATGCAGACGTGCAGCGGAGAGGATGAACGGCGCGAATCACGAAAGCTGGCTACCCAAATTGCTTGCAGCAATGGCTACCATCCCTCACCACATATTCGACATCCAAAAAGTGGTGAGCACCGAGCTGAAAACAGACTTCCACTTTGCCTGCCATTCATCTCCGATAAGATCAGCGCGGCCATTCAAAAATGCATAATTCGTGCACAGCTGCAAGATGATGTTATGTTAGTCAACATCCCAAACGACAACATCAAAAAACAGCTGGTGCGAAATCGGCTCTACGATCGTTACTGTATATCTGAGCAATGCGTTGTTTGTCCGCACGGGAGACTGGGAGACTGCGCAAAGATGGGAGTTGTGTATCAACTCGAGTGTTTGAGCTGCAACGCACGTTACATTGGGGAAACAGGAAGAATGCTTAGCATTCGCGTAAAAGAACATCTTGCAGATAAAAGGCGAAAGAACATGGCTTCAACGCTTGGCAGACATAGGCGCGAGGCGCATGATGATGAAGATTTTGACATTAAAGTCACGATGCTAACATTTGAAGAGGAGATCTCAGCTAGGAAAGCTATGGAAGCTTTCTGGATTTCTGCGAAGAATCCAGAAATGAACAACAAAAACGAATGTCTATCAATAACCGCTGACTTTCTCCCGTTTATATCATTATGCGAGTTATGACTGTAGATCATTTACCATCCAATGCAGTATAACTCATTCGTCCGTCGCGACCGTCTCCTTCCGGTACGGACATCTGATGACGAAGCGGTGGTTCCCTGGTATGTCTTTGCTTTCGCAATTTTTGTGGCAACTAGATTGGGTGAAGGCCGAAAACTGGCAGAACTAGGGGAGACATTTGGTGGGCTGGACTCACTGATGAAGCTCAGAACCATTCTAGGCCTCTGACGAAGACGAAAGCGTTGAAACGTAAGGCCGTTGATACTGACTAATAAAGGACCACCTACCAACCTGTACGGCACAAGAAGAACACACAATACATACGAAGAATGCCCAGGTTCAAAACAGACGGAACTTGGAAACTATTTTCGAAATCAGCAAGCTTACTTACCTGCCTGCGCCAATCCCAGCCGCGTAGCTCAAACTTCGCAAAAAATCGATAATCGGTATATCGCTAAAGGGCCGGTCATACCGGTCAGCGATCCATCGCGTCGCTTACTTTCCAAAGGACAAGTGTTACAAGGCCGGAGATAACGCGTATCTGTGCTGGCTGTCCGGCGCGATGCATCGCGTTTTCTACCCGGCCATACCGATTTGAGCGAAACCGCCGCGATCGTCGCTCATCCTAGCGAATTCGCGTCACTCATTTCAAATGCGCGACGCGATGGATCGCTAGGTTTGGGATCTCTTTCCAAGAAAGTTTTATGATTGTTCTTTACTTTCTTAAGCTGGTCTCGTGCCTGGGGATTGGAAACCATTTTAGTTTAGTCAAAGTGCATTGGTTTTCCCTGAAATGCAAGCCTTTTGATTTATCAGCAATTGTCACTCAAGCTAATTGCCTTGCACACTTCCCAAATTTGCTAGCTATCTGGTTTTCAAATGATGTGTGTTTCGTGGGTACGACTCTATTATTAACCATTATAACGTTTCTTTGTGTTCTTTATCACCTCAGTATCCTCATCACGGGCATGACTTTTGTTTGTCAACTCTCTGAAAGTAACAGGGTTGTGGATTGTGTTGTTCGGCACGAATATAAATGGAAACCACTTGACTCGCTATTAAGGTAATCGGGCAGAGAGTGTTTCATACAAATCATCGCACTAGTCATTCAAAAACCTTCTACTTCTGCAGGATATCATCAAGATTTGTAAAAATCAAATGAGTGTTCGAATTAGCACGACAGGGGAGATATCAGATTTGCCAGACATAATCTCAAAGAAATATATAAAGTAGGAAATTTTGCAAAAGCACAAGGAACCAAGTTACAAGCGTAGATAACAAACAAAGACTGAAGACGAAGTGTGAGAATGCACACATCGCCGCGGTGGTATGCCCCCTTATTCGAGCGGTCAGCGATCCGTCGCGCGTTTTCGTCGCTAGTTTCCACCCAGTCGCGACGATCATCCATCGCGGCGATGGATCGCTGACCGGTATGACCGACCCTTAACGAAAAGTAGTCTACGCTCGAACAATCGCCGGGGGCAGGCGGTCCGCAAACTCGCGCTTTCTTGCAGGCGATCAGCAGAATTTTGGGGCGTGGAAAAACCTTCAGCGAGCGGTACTTCCTTTGCTGTGCATGTTCTGCCAGCTGCAGCAATACAGATTTCTGCAAGCGGTCGTCAAGGTAATTCCTTTCAGCAAGCACCTGCCAAATTTTCAGCGGGCGCTCTGACTCTTGTTAAGCAGTTTCGGCCGTACGCAGAGGAAAGGTAACACTCTACATGGCAGGGGTGTCACCGGTGGTTTAATTACACAAGTTTGAGGTGTCTTCTCTCGACGGAAAGTACCAACGGGCTTGCGGTCCTTCACAAAGGACCGTGCGGACCTCAACAATTTTGCATATTTTCGCGGAAATTCCGCAAGAATGCGGCCACTGCGCCACAACTAATCTATGAAAAGGCCGCGAAACCTCCGAGCATTCGTCTAAAATTTCTCCAGATATCTGCAAGCGGACCGCAAGATATCAACGAATTATTTTTCCGGTCCCCGCCTGCCCATAGATCGCGTGGCGGCCTGCCCTCGGCGATTATCTGTGCGGTCCCCGCCCCGTCCCGAAGTGTATGTGTGTCAAGTTTGGTGCAGGTTGGTTTAGAATAATAAATTATTATTCGGAACATACGTAGAGATGGACAGCAGGCATGCAGACACTCAGATAATCGCCGGGGGGGGGAGCAACGGCAAGGCGGTTTGGGCAAGCGGGCACCGGAAGAATAGTTCGCTGATTTCTTGCGACCCGCTTGCAGATATTTTGAAGAATGTTGCAAATTCTGGGCAAATGCTCGGGAAACAACTGCAGTTTTTCCATAGATTAGTTGTCGCGGCCGCATTCTCTCGGACTTTCCGCGAGAATATGCAAATTCAATGAGATTCGCACGGTCCCGTCTTCAATGACATCCGCACGGTCCTGTCAACTTATCTACAAAAAACCCGTAATAGTTCTCCAAGCATTCGCCTAAAAATTGGCCAGCATTCTTCCGTTTCTGCAAGCGAGCCGCAAGAAATCAGCAATCTATTTTTGCCCACCGCTTGCCCAAAAATCACATGTCCGCCTGGCCCTGGCGATTATCTGAGTGGCTGCTGCCAAGTTCTTTACATCCTTTTTATTTGTTTCCGATTTCGCCTAATTTCTTTTCCGATTACGTATTTTATCATCCTGCTAAATAAAGCGTAATGATTGTAATTTCAGGACACTTTCATGGCAAGGCCATGCTATTCTGCCCTTTTTATTCTTTCTGCACTCTTACGTTCTGGAGCAGCGGTTATGATAACAATTATCTTGATTATTCCACAAATAATTTTTTGTACTATCCAATACAATTTATAAAAGTGCATAGCTATATCAATGAACTAGCTGCATGAAACCGGAGATATGCATCAGAATAGAATAGATAAAACATCTAAACAGAAGCCTAGGTCTTATTCGTGCAGTGTTTAGCTATACTAGCTAAGTATTATCTGTCTTTAAAATTGTACCACATCTTTTTTCACTGGTTGCTAGCTGTCCCAAGGTTTCAACATATCGCAACTTGTGTTTACCCATATGGCCAAGGGTTTAAAGTGTAACATACAGCTGTCATTACAAGAGCGAGCTCTGGAAAAAGTGATTCACTACACTTTAAAAATATCAAAGGCGGTATGTATCTATCAATCTCCCGATTGCCGTTAAAGCTCTGTCTGACAGCCAGGGAAAAGGAGATGCTCGGTCGCACATCAGGTTGCAGACAAAGCAACACCACTGGAGTCGATGCAGACAAATATTCTTGGGAAAGAGTAACATAAAATTGTTTTTGCAGAATTCAATTGGAGGATCTTGAGAGAGAAAGAACTGCTGGAATAGTGAACAAATAAAACGAGACATGCCATTTATATAAATAGATATAGGTGTTTGTGTAATGATGTATATATGTAAACAACAAAGTCGTAAGTATCGCACTTTTGCCACAGTCACTGAACAGAATTGCTATCCTCTTCCAGTCTCTCCAAGTACTCAGTCCTGGAAATAACATATATCTTGCATTTTTAATCAAAGGAAATTGAAATCACCTGTCTCTACTAGCTTACTTGAGTGTAAAAATCTAATAGTTTGGTAATGAACGTGCTCTAGGTCCTAGTGTGCTATTAAGACACTCTTCAATATATTTGCTCTGATTCTCAAAAGCCAATAAGGTTTTTCAGGTTCCCAGTCAGAACCCCAAAGAGAAGAGTGCACTGGCTACTTACATTGATCCCAAAAGGCAAACAATGGTAATGTTTCCAGAGCAGTCCGCGTGCGCACATCCGGCTGCTGCCGACAAAAACGGTCTCTGTAAAAGGCAGTGAATAAGTGCTCCGTTTGCAGAAATAGTCCGCAAATCAATGAACTCGTGCTGAAAGTGCACTTGGGTGCAAAAGCATTTCAATAAAATGATTGCAGCAATGGAAGATGCAAAACAAGCACATAATTGATGATATGAACGTTACAGAGTATATTCAATGGTTGTAGGTAAACACCAAGTACATAAAACAATTCCGAGAAAGCCTACAATTGGAATGCGTTTAGCCGTGGAATTTTGCTTTACAAATTCTATGGTCATTGAAAGAATGGACATAAAACCTTGTTAAATGTTTAACATTGAAACAGCGGCTGATGCAATAACGCATGCTCTTTATGTTTGCAGCGGCAGAGAAGGTATAGAAATATGTGAAATATATCATTTAATAGAGAAAGCAAGCCTTGCAAGATGTTGCTCGAACATTTTTCGGCAAGCTCTGATGTTTTACGAAGTTTGGTATAAACTATTGCCAGATTTGGAAGCAACACGATAATTTTAGAAAATGTTTTGTGTTTTTGAGCCAGAACCGAGATTGTTACAGATTTTTATTGGCTTACGTTTCGGCCACTTCGCCGTCCTCAGAGCCTGAATGGGACGATATGCAATTCGTAGACTATCCGAAACAAAGCTTTTTAAAAACTACAAGCAAATTCAAAAGTCAAGCAGTGTAGGTATCTATCTTCTTTCGGGCGATACTCACCCTCCGTCAAACTTCTTTTGCAGTAGGAATACTGCCGTCTAATATGGACGTAGATGCACAGTGGGTGACATTTTAGAATATTTGTCCCATATATGGTAGCAGCTCACGAGTGATAGCGACACATTCTTCTTTACGGTTCATTCGTGGATTTCGGGCGTGGATGTAATAAGCTTCCAGAGTCTTGCGAGCTGATGTTTTTTGTTCATGCGCTAAGATTTGTACTTTGATTTTGAAATCGTTTCTTTCATGTTTCTGCACTCTGTGAGTGCCTAATGGCGTTGAAAGTCGTGACTTCTCTTTACCATCAAGGTGTTCCTTAATGCGAATACATAATGGCCTGGCAGTTTCACCTATGTAATCATCACCGCATTCCACACATGTGATGAGATAGATTACTCTTGAGCTCATGCAGCTTCCACCTTTGATCGGGCAAATTACACAGTTCGGAGTGGTGCAGTCTCGATCGTATATGCGGTTTCGAACCAGCATACGTTTGAGATTATCTGGAGGGATGTCCACAACCGAAACCAAATTGCTCAGGCCCGTTTTCCTCAAACATTGCCGTATTGCTTACTGACTTCATCGTTAATAAACGGCATAAGAAAAGGAATCTTTTCTTCATCAGCCGAAGTCAACTTCTCTTGTGCTTTGCGACGGTGGTTGCGATGCGGCATGCTGTTGTTATAACCATTAGAAGTCGCTATTTTGTGCGCGATGTTCAATGATTCTCTCCTTTCCTCAGGACCAGTGCAAACTTTCGAGGCTGTGCGGAACATATTTTTTATGACAGCGTACTTCATGTGTTGCGGATGGGCCGAATGGAAATGGATGAGAATATTTTTATTGCTTGGCTTTCTATACCATTTCGTTGCGTAGATGCCGTTGGCGATGTTGATCTGGACGTTCAGAAACGGCAGCCACCCATGAGTAGAACCAGTCTACTGGAACTGGGCCCTAATTTTTCACCATCTCAACACATTTCTACGGCTGTCTTGCGCAAGGTCACTTGTGCTTTGCAAGAACTCCAAGATAGTTTGAGGAAGAAAGCAAATCAAAAAAGTGAAGGCGTAAAACAACTACCACGCGACATGAAACTATCTATACCTTTCCCGGCAACGTTCTTTAAGCAGCAGGAAGCAAACCTCACTGTAGATATAAACTTCCGACTGTTCGCTGATGAAGTCTTCAAAACGTTGGAGAGGTTTCGCAAGAAAAAGATGAATTCTAACATCACCAGTACCCAAAAGGAAGGCTTGAAAATGCTCAAAGAAATGGTAAAAACTGCCAAAATACGATTATCAACAAGTGATAAGGGAAGAGAATTTGTGGTAATCCCTCATTGTTTGAATGTTGCGCTCGCAGAGAGACATTTACAAAATCATACTCTCTATCGAAAATCCTCAATTGATGAGTTTCAAAAGCAATACCGCAAATTAAACACAGAATGGCAAAGAGTAGCGAAGGCAGCTAATTTACCATCCGAAATCATTAGGCGCCTCAAGACCGACTTACCAACCTGCCCATGCTCTATCTACTTATTAAAACGCACAAAATCCAATCCGCCGACTTAACATCTGATGACCCTGCAACCTTCAGTGTGAGACCGATAATCAGTTGCGTGAGAGGTCCCACAGATCGAGTAGGATGGTTCCTGAACACTATACTAACACAATTGCTTCAGTTCATTCCTTCTCATCTGACGAACACCCAGATGTTCCTGGATCGTTTACGAAAACTACGCATTGACAGCAACTATGCCATGGAGTCATTCGACGTTAACGCCCTTTATACAAACGTATCCACTGACTCGGCAATGCAAGCAGTTCTTGAGCTACTGTCAGAACACGAGCAAGACGTCAAGTTCTACGGATTAAACATCGCTCAAATATCAGTCTTGCTGAAAGCTTGTCTACATTGTAATGTTTTCAAATGGTCAGGAGAGTTCTTCTTGCAAATTAGAGGATTGGCTATGGGCCAACGTTTGGCTCCTACAGTTGCGATTATTTTCATGGCCAAGATTGAAAAACCCATGTTAGAATTGCAACCCCTGCTTTATTGTCGATATATCGACGATTGCTTCATCGTTTGCGTCAACCAAGAAGAAATTGATGAATGCTTCGCGCTGATGAATCGACAATCAGAACACATAAAACTTAGCCGGGAAAAACCAACTCATGGGTGGCTGCCTTTTCTGAACGTCCAGATCAACATCGCCAACGGCATCTACGCAAGAAATGGTATAGAAAGCCAAGCAATAAAAATATTCTCATCCATTTCCATTCGGCCCATCCGCAACACATGAAGTACGCTGTCATAAAAAATATGTTCCGCACAGCCTCGAAAGTTTGCACTGGTCCTGAGGAAAGGAGAGAATCATTGAACATCGCGCACAAAATAGCGACTTCTAATGGTTATAACAACAGCATGCCGCATCGCAACCACCGTCGCAAAGCACAAGAGAAGTTGACTTCGGCTGATGAAGAAAAGATTCCTTTTCTTATGCCGTTTATTAACGATGAAGTCAGTAAGCAATACGGCAATGTTTGAGGAAAACGGGCCTGAGCAATTTGGTTTCGGTTGTGGACATCCCTCCAGATAATCTCAAACGTATGCTGGTTCGAAACCGCATATACGATCGAGACTGCACCACTCCGAACTGTGTAATTTGCCCGATCAAAGGTGGAAGCTGCATGAGCTCAGGAGTAATCTATCTCATCACATGTGTGGAATGCGGTGATGATTACATAGGTGAAACTGAACACCTTGATGTAAAGAGAAGTCACGACTTTCAACGCCATTAGGCACTCACAGAGTGCAGAAACATGAAAGAAACGATTTCAAAATCAAAGTACAAATCTTAGCGCATGAACAAAAAACATCAGCTCGCAAGACTCTGGAAGCTTATTACATCCACGCCCGAAATCCACGAATGAACCGTAAAGAAGAATGTGTCGCTATCACTCGTGAGCTGCTACCATATATGGGACAAATATTCTAAAATGTCACCCACTGTGCATCTACGTCCATATTAGACGGCAGTATTCCTACTGCAAAAGAAGTTTGACGGAGGGTGAGTATCGCCCGAAAGAAGATAGATACCTACACTGCTTGACTTTTGAATTTGCTTGTAGTTTTTAAAAAGCTTTGTTTCGGATAGTCTGCGAATTGCATATCGTCCCATTCAGGCTCTGAGGACGGCGAAGTGGCCGAAACGTAAGCCAATAAAAATCTGTAACAATCTCGGTTCTGGCTCAAAAACACAAAACATTTAAACAAGTATGCCGAGATTCAGAGAAAGTCGAACATTTGAATTTTAGAAAATTCGAAAAGCCAGTTATCGATGCCAAAAAATTGTATTACTTTGCATTTCGTTTACTCTATCTAACTGCTATTAAAGTATTTCCAAAAATCCAAGACGAAAAAATAAAAAAATTGCAATTCAAGTTTCAAGCGAACATCAAAGGAATCCGAACAGAGACATCATTGCTGAAAGGCGGAAAAAGTTCTGCATCAAACAGTACTTGGCGTGTTCGTCTATCTTAATTCTGAATGAATCGACGATAGGTTTAAGGTCTTTCACTAATTTTTTTGTAATAAACTATGAAAAAATTGTTTAACACATTGACGACCAAAGCCTTTCTCGGATCAGCCAACATTTTTCAGATAAAATCACGCACAATTCCATTTTGAAGTACATCTACGTAGTGTGGAATGCTGGCAGAAACAGTAGAGGTTGTATCTAGATTCAGCATAAAAGAAAACTCCCAGAGTTGATTTGAAAGAATTTATTAGCCATTTTAATGGGAGTCATGGTGTGTCAAGCCTTGGCACACCATGTGTGTCAAGCGGTCGTCAATTTGTCAATTTCCTTTCGCCTTTTCTGGAAGTTTCTCATGCCTTTGTAGAAGTTTTTACCTTGAGTCAGCGGCCTACCAGAATTCCCGGGAGGGAAGGAGACAAAAATTTTAGAGTAAAGGCACGTGGCTTAGCCAGCATTACGAAAATTTTGAGGATACTGAGTATGTACGCACCTAAAATTCCGATAATTTATGGAAGGGGCCGGAGGCAGCTTTTTTACAAGACTACTTTTACTTTCCAAAATATTCCAAAAAAATTATTATTTACCAAATGTAATCAATCATATAATCATTATGTATTATATTACATATTATATATTAATTGTATAACTATACAGGGTGTCCAGAAAGTATGTGTATAACGTTCGACCGTAAACATCTCTTCCCTGAAAGTCTTTTGTACTTCCTTTAGGTACCTGGCTCTAACTTACAAGTCTAGATCTACAGTATGGGGATCATCGATTGGTTTTCATCACTGTAGGATTACGATATCAACTTTTAGTTTACAGCATCGTTGTGAATAAATCACTTTTTGAAAAAATTAAAAAAGAGGACAATGGTGTACCAGGATTTTAACGCTCGCTGATTTCGTAACTGAATTTTTTAAAAGTTTGTAAGCCTTTTCAAATGATGTGATCACGACTTCAGGGGGTACTTTGGAAACAACTATTATGGTTTGCCTGACCTAATCTATGAAAAAAACTTTGCGCTTAAGCGTAAACTTTATATTTAGTATTGGCGGCACAGTGTTAGCCAAGTTTAAGAAACATTTCAAATCGTTTAGTTTGTTTCTGAGGGCTAAATAGGGCTCTTAATGGCTCAAAACCCCTTCCCTAAGTTTCTACCGTAATAGTGCAGTAACGAAGAGCGATCGATGAACCGTTCCTATTGGAAATCTATGTTGACGTCAGCTCTATAAAGTGGTACCTAAAGACAAAAGACTTTTTGGAAACAGAGATATCAACGATCAAGCAGCGTATACATACTTTTGGGACACCCTGTATACCAACTGTTAACAAGACTTGCACGCTCTCATACATGCAAAAAAATTCAAAAAAATTTCGGCGACCCATTTTTGAGGTTCACTGATTAGGCCTATCTTCGACGTTGAAATTCTGTCTTTAAATCTACAAAATACATATTTGAGAGCATTAACGAACAGCTTGTCGGAAAAGCATCCCTTCAAATAAATCACAGAACTTTTCGGGTCTCTACTTTCCGCTTTGAAAACTTCGAGGTTTTCCGAGTTTTCTCTTACAATTAGAATGGGGCAGGATAAGAAAAAAATATGCTTCTTGTTACAAACTCAGTCACACATATCCTAGCCTTAGTGTTCAACCAACTTTCAACGATGTCGAGCGTTTGACTGTTTGTCTTCTTGTTCAATCACCATAATTCCCTTTCTACTAGTATTTAAAGCTCCCGCTACACAACATGACTTACCACCTCAAGTTGTCTGGATTTCGGTAGTTCAATTAGAATGGCTTTGTAAGCTTTATCGAGATTTTCGAAAAGCATGTAAACAGTTTTTTCGTAGTGAGAAGCCAATTTTAGTACATCGTCCGTGTAACTCCTGCAAGACATTATCGTATTTGTTCATCTGTAGACTGACCCAGACATACCAAGTTCGATTAACACAATCGTATTTTCCGCATTCACTCTTGATACCAACACAAAGTTGTACTGCAAGATTTTTCGCCTTTCTATAAAGTTCGCAATCATCCTGGAACAGAAGTGTTCATAGTAACTCTCATGCTCCCACTGCTTCCAACTTCACCAAAAACAACTCGCTTCCTGATACCGCAGCAACCTCATTCGACATTTCGATTCCAAGGTTGAGATGTTTTGCTACCTTTGTGAATGCCGTTACTGTTGCATTGTACAAAACAGGATCAATATCGCACAATCCTGAATAAATGCTTATCGTATTAGGTTGTAAAGAAAGTTCCAGGGCATTTGCGAATTTGTTTTCCAAATCGCTGTAACTTCGAGCAGATTGATCTTTTTTCAAAGCTACAAAGATTTCATTGCAAAGAGAATTTCGTTTACATCATATATTTGTCGTGCTGGCTTTCAGTACCTCATAGCGGTCCACTAGCATGCGCAGAAGGGAGAAAGGTCGACGCGAAAAGTGGCCTATTCGTGCAGGATTATCTCAGGAAAGATAATAGCTGAAGACCCCGAATGCTGTACTTATATAGAAGTCTGCTGGGGCTGTTATGAAAACCATTCATGTCTTTAAGGGGCCATCTGCAAGAAAAATCTTTCCAGAAAGCCTGAAAAAGACCATTTTTGCCCCCCAAAATGCACCGTTTTTCGTGTAAGTTTTTTGAGGTCTTCTCGTTCTGCACAGGTGGACCAAATCTTCGTTTACTGCGAACTGTTTTTGGGGTAATGTCGTACGCATCTTTTGGACCCATCAGCCAGGTGCGGCGATCCCCGCAGAAGCGGTCAGCTGCAAAAAAAGTTGCAGTCAGAAGCAAGTCCGACAACTTGTAATTTCTGAGCACAAATCGCAAAACTCGAGCGCAGCTACGGGTCAGAAGTTAATAGATTTCTCAATCAGACCACTCATGATTTCGACAAAATTGTTTGAAATGCACAGAAAAATGGGCGCGGGAAGAAAAATTGCGGAATTTTTATGGTTGGAAAGATTTTCTTTTTTGATGTGCAGGTCATACAGGTCTTGGCATCGATAGAAATCAGAAGCGTTCTTGAAAAGTTTACGCTTCGCTCCAGTAAAAAACTTGGTGTCAAATTCCGACCAAGCGCCGAAAAATGCGTTTGAAAATGAAATCTTCAAAAGTGCCCGGAACTTTTATTTACAACTCAATAATAACAATCACTAGCCAAACTGCAGTAATCATAAATAATCTGAAATTTTGAAGGGATGAGCCGCGCATTATGACCTTTGCCACCTGCGGGGTAGTACTTTGACAGAGTGTGTAGGCTGCTTTTACCTCACAAATAGTAAAATGAGAACAGAAAGATTTACAAATTGAAACAGAGGTTGTTAACTCGCCAATCGTGCATTATTCTGAAGGTAAACGTCTTCAGTTATAATGTGGATTGTTGTATCTAGCGAAGCCGTCATATAACGACTACGAAGCTACGGAGCCTTTTTGGCTAAATTCTTAACAATCCAACGTTATAATCATCTTTACATTTATTGCACATCCCATATAAATTGTAAGTAATAACACATTTCTGTGCACAGCACGCACACAAATTCCGAACAATTTTGAAGTCCGAGCAAAACTATATACATCTTTCCTTTTTTTTATAATATAGCTGGCTTACCCGGCTCCGCTCGGCCCTGCCAAAAGACTATGACAAGGATCCCATCAGGGATCCCTATACAACCTTGTAAATTGTATTCGTAATCAGCATGCTCACTTACAACCTGTGATAACTCCCAGCCCGTAGCTTTAACTTGGCAAAAAATCGATAAAAATTCGATCGATGACGAAAAGTAGCCTATGACACGCTCCCCGCCCCGAAGTATATGTGTGCCAAGTTTGGTTCAAATCGGTGCAGAAATAAAAATCTCTATTCCGCACATACGTACACACATACAGATAGACATGCAAACAGACATTCAGTTTTATATATAAGATAAGGTTGTCTCAAAAGTTTTTTCCAATTTTGAATTTCTAAAAAGACAAGTAACAAACTTTTCAGTTTTGGTTGAGATGCAGGGTACCGTTCGGTAGAGCAAAGCAAGCTCTATAGGATGGCATGTAAGCATTTGTACCGGCTTGTATATCACGAGTTAGAAGCCGAAATCTGAGAAATTTGGATGCCCTAAAGATTGAAAATTTTCTACAGCTTTGTCTAAAGAGATTTTACCAGATCCCGAACTTGCTCACGCATATGCACTCCCAATAAGGCATTTATGTATCCGTTGTTGCGTTTGTTTCAGTGTTTAAAGCCGAAAAAATCAAAATTTTCAAGTTTTCCAAAAAGCAATGCTGCGCTGTTTTCACACACGTGTAAATGTGTACTACATTTCGGTAATACATTAACGCTATTGCATGACGAAGGCGTAGAAGAAGTATAAGTTGAGAAGGCGCGAACGCGTCGCGCGCGTATCCTCACCGTTGTAAATCCTGGGCTTCACGCGCTCTACGGCTAATAAAGCCGCGTTCACGTCCAAAGGTACTGCGCTTTCATCATGCAGCAGCGTATAGGTATTTCAGTTTCCTGGAAGCGCTAGTTCTTGAACTGCCGTATTTAGCTGTTTTGCTAAGGTACTTTTGTTGATTAATATTTCTCGGGAACTAGAGTTTAAAAGCTGGAAGTTCGTGACTATACTTTTAAAGGCCTGTTGTATACATTTAGCGTGTAGAAAGAGCGCAGCATCGCTTTTTGGAAGCTTGAAAAAAATTTTGGTTTTCTGGTTTTCTCGGTCTCCAGCACAGAAACAAACACAGCAACGGCATATATAAATGTGGCATATAAATGCATTATTTGGTGTATATACGTGAGCGAGTTTGGGATATGGTGAGTTTTTTGGGCGAAGTTATAGAAAATTTTCAATTTTTTGGCATCCAAAAGTTCTCAAATTTCACTTTCAACTCTTGATGTACTGAAGTTGGTGCGAACACTTACATGCCTTCTTATATAGCTTGCTTTGCTCTGTCGAAAGGTACCCTGCATCTCAATAAGAAATAAGGTTGTGGCTTATCGCGGTAAAAAATCAAAATTATAAAATCTCGTGAGAAAAAATAATCATCAAAACAGCAATAATACTACAATCTTACAATTAGCTGAAAATCACGCACACGTACTGTATTTTGCCACGGTCGCAACAAATAAATGCGTTATTACAGGGTGCGGCAAAAGTCTGGGAGCCTAGTACTTTTTCGTACAAAACGAGAAGGGAAGTACCTAGAAACGAAAAATTTGGCGCACACATAACTCGAACCATTGCAGATACAGCCCATTTCTTGAATTGCAAAACAGCCTCTTTTGGCTTCCACGCAGCCCTATAAAATCTTGGCAAGTCCACCTCATGGCACGCAGGTAGTAGTAATGGAATTCGCCCCATGCCTTCACAATAACTGCTTCTTTTACCTTGGCAAATGTGCAGCACGATAGAGCAAGCTTTTATCTACAATATGCTTCCAAAAGAATTTTTTGCATTGCTGAGGAATAAAAATATTGGATTTTCAATTAGAAGCATGTGTATTGACATACCGGAATTTTGGCTACAATTGCGCGAATAAAAACTTAAAATTATCGTTTAAAAAGTATGAAAAGTGTTCCCATGGCCGAATTTCAATAGATTCTAATTTGGAAGGCATATGCAAAAAATACAGCCTTGGTCCCAGTGCCTGTTGAGCATTCTATAGCTTTTGAATTTGTTCTGAAGATTCCACTGGCACGTAGGTAGCATTCGCATACTTTTATTTTCCGTTCATACAAGAACACCTCCTGGCAAAGGCAAAACTAGGATACAATAGCGCAAAGCCTCTTCTATGTTGTGTGCATCGAAGTTTTGTAAAATATTAACAGCATCTCTAGCTACAGCAAAAATTGTAAATACTAAAAATTCTGGTCTTTTCGCTTTGCAAAAGTACTAGTTTGGTAGTCTTCATTCTTACAAAAACATATGGCAGCCATTTGCAGTCAAATAAAGTGTATTCTGTATAGGATGACCGCAGCATCATGTGGCATAAAATTAAAATCAAAACCACCAGTACCTTTGTAATTGCAATATTGCAAAGTTAGGCTCCCAGACTTTTGCCGCACCCTGTATAATCAACTATTGAATGACTCCCAAACATATCCTCAAACTATATATATATATATATATATATATATTAGGTTGAACCGAAAGTTCTTTCCGCCCATTTTCAAAAATTCATAACTTGTTGAATTCTCAACGAATCTGCAAGATCCAAATTTTGTATAAGAGAGAAACTCATGCTCTTTGTAAATTTACTTGAACTGTTCGTTAATGTGTACAAATGAAGGAGATAGAAGCTTAAAACCAAAATCACTCAAAATTTGAATTTTTCGTGTAGGGTCATAAAAAATCGGAAACTTGCAAGAAAAATCGGAGCAGTCAGTATTGTAGGTTTTTTTTACCAGCTCTTTCTAATGGTGTAAAGTTTGCGTCGATTGAGCGTCTCTATCAAAAGTTATGATTTTCGAGCAAGCAATACAAAAGGGCGAATTTGATTTATTTTGGCATTTTTCAGGGAATTCATAACTTTTCACAGAGACGCTCAATCTAAGCAAACTTTGCACTGTTGGAAAGAGCTTGTGAAAGAGCCTACAATACTGACTGCTCCGATTTTTGTTGCAAGTTTCCAATTTTTTATAACCCTACACAAAAAATTCAAATTTTGAGTGATTTTGGTTTTGAGCTTCTATCTCCTTCATTTGTACACATTAACGAACAGTTCAAGTACAGTTACAAAGAGCATGGGTTCCTCTCTTATACAAAATTTAGGTCTTGCAGATTTGTTGAGAATTCAACAAGTTATGAATTTTTGAAAATGGGGGGAAAGAACTTTCGGTTCAACCTAATATATATATATATATAAACTCAAAGTTCTTGCAGCTCTTGACCGTATGTTTTTTATAGACTCCTTTGCGCGTGAACCGATTGAGCTGAAATTTTGCACATATATGTTTTCGACCCCGTAAATGGTTATAGGCTACTTTTTGAAGCGATTTGCTGGATCCTTTTATTGATTTATTGATTTCGGCACTTTGCAGTAAAAGTGAGGTCTCTTCAATCTATCATACCCCACGCACATTTTGGTGTAAACAATAGCAGAGAAGCTCATTCTCATTTTGCGGTCTGAAGGATGCGGTACTTTCAGATGATGCTGCTTTGAGGTATGCATTTGCAATTACAACGTACCGTGAGGTGGATATAGGCTGCGAGACCGGAGAAGGAAAGGGGGGGGGGGGGGAGGGCAGAAATGCAGCAGATGGAAGGATAAAAGATGGAAGAATGTAAGTTTTGAAAGAGAACACATTTTATGCGCTCCCTCCCCCTCCTTCCTCCGGCTCCGTGGCTCATGAAGGGCAAGACCCGGTATCTCAGACAATCGACCGGACCCCTGACAGTCCGAAATTGCCAGAGTCGCGCGGGACCCAGTTGACCAATGAGAGAGGGGCAAATGGGCGGTCCGTCGCGGTCACATCACTGGCAGGCAAGTGGGAGGCTTCTCCGGCCCTGCTGCAAAGGTACGCCATTTCTCCGGCGCGACTCTGCCAGATTTGGCGGACTCGCGCCGGAGAAATTTGCCCGGCGCGAGTCCGCCAGATTTGGAAGAGCCGCGCCGGAGAAAATCGGAGGGGTCCGGAGCAGAAATGGGAGGCCTCCGGAGCAGAAAATGGGAGGTATCCGGAGCAGAAAATGGGAGGTCTCCGGAGCAGAAAATGGGAGGTCTCCGGAGCAGAAAATGGGAGGTCTCCGGAGCAGAAAATGGGAGGTCTCCGGAGCAGAAAATGGGAGGTCTCCGGAGCAGAAAATGGGAGGTCTCCGGAGCAGAAAATGGGAGGTCTCCGGAGCAGAAAATGGGAGGTCTCCGGAGCAGAAAATGGGAGGTCTCCGGAGCAGAAAATGGGAGGTCTCCGGAGCAGAAAATGGGAGGTCTCCGGAGCAGAAAATGGGAGGTATCCGGAGCAGAAAATGGGAGGTATTCGGAGCAGAAAATGGGAGGTATCCGGAGCAGAAAATGGGAGGTATCCGGAGCAGAAAATGGGAGGTATCCGGAGCAGAAAATGGGAGGTATCCGGAGCAGAAAATGGGAGGTATCCGGAGCAGAAAATGCAATGGGAGGTATCCGGAGCAGAAAATGGGAAGTATCCGGAGCAGAAAATGGGAGGTCTCCGGAGCAGAAATGGGAGGTATCCGGAGCAGAAAATGGGAGGTATCCGAAGCAGAAATGGGAGGGCTCCGCCGGACAAATGGGAGACCCACCGCTGGGGAATCGCCGCGACCCTGCCATTTCTCCGGCGGAGGGGTCCTATCCGTTGCCTGAGATGCCAGCTAGTATCCTAGAAGGACCATTGTATGCAGTATATCAACACAGCACAAGTGCAAAACTCTTGTTTGAAAAACCGTAATACGATGCGCGGCGAAATTATTGTGTTGCAGAGCAGAAGGGTGGTAGATAATGCAGAAGGTGGCTCAATTTCCGGCTGTTTCAATTTAAATGTTCTCTTCAACATATACATTTTATACACATTACTGCAACTCGTTATGCAAGAATTCTTTCTCTGCCTTGTCAGCAAAGTTAGTCAAGTAATGACTGCCCTCTGTTGATTTGTAGAAAGTGGCGATTCCAAATTTAACGTCAGCCTTATTGTTGAGCAAAATTGGGTACTTTTCCGTTATCCGGACCCATTTTTTCAAAAGGCTCTCATATTATATGTTCTTTAGTCCAAGAATAATTATTTATAGATTCTACGAGGATTGCCTCCTTGCCACGTGTCACGAAAAAATTGACACGTTTTGGTCCATTTTGACATGTTTTTTTTCGAAATCATTTCCAGTGAGATAAAAGAGAATTTGTGGTCATTGTGTTTTACATAAGCACAAAACAATCACGAACCTATTCTAGAAAATCTTTCTTGCTTTTAGCAGTGATTCAAAAATTATTTTTCTTAAAACCTTTTTCGCCATGCGAATTTAGCCGAAAAGACTGTAAATGATAGCTTGAAGTTCCCTGCAGCTGCTCGTTTCGTCTTTTAAATGACGTAATCCTAGCGCATTTCTCTACCCTCAGCAAGTCTAATCTGTTCATCGATGATAGTATGTCGTTATTATCATGTCATTGTTCACTTTGAAACTGTTTGAACGAAATGAGGTTAAATTATTTGAAAAAACAGATTGAACTTACATCGCAAGATAGGGTAACACAAACTCTTGGTAAAACCTGTTAAACATGTAGATAACATGTCAATTTTTTTTGACACGTGGCAGAAGGTTGGCACTCCTTCCTGCGAAGCTGGAACAAAATATGGTACAAGGATAGAAGCAATATCTTTCTTTGAAAAAATGGGTCCGGATAACGGAAAAGTACCGATAGTTCAAGACAACGTCGTCAACGTAGGTGCTCATACTGCGTCATCGAGGAAGATATTTCAGAATGGTGAAAAGTGCGTTTTACTTAAAGACAAAAAGCAGAGCATAAGAGGTTAATTCAGAAAACTGAATTGTATAAGCCAGGGCTCGGCACGAGCTGGCACCAGGGAAATTTCAAAACGAAGTCCCGTTTGAATTTAAAAATTTCGTACGAAGTCTGCTCTGACCTGTTTTGAAGATTGGTCATTATTTCTAGACTATGTAAAAGTATGTAGTAGGGTTTTCCTGCATGCTGATTTCATGGAACAACTTTTCACACCTTTTGAGCTTTTTGAGTGGTTGAATCACATTTTTGGGAAGCAGAAAAAGCGGATTTTTCGACTACGGAGCAGACCGAGTAATTTTCAGAAGGCTATAAAACGCTGAAATAAAACCATTATGAAATTGTTTCTTCCCTTTATGTAGATTTTTACAGTGTAGATGTATTTCATGTAAAAAAAAGTATTAACTTCTGTGAGCAAAGTGTCGGTGCCAGCTCAGATGACACCCACCTGACACGGTGCGAGGAAAGTTCAGCACAGCTTTCATTCACATAAGTTTTCATAAATTTTAGAGTTATAGTTCGGAACCCCAACGCGCATGCACACACCAAATTTGGTGTCATACTATTGCGTTTTGGCTAAAAACAATGCCTTTTTGTTTGATGGACAGCATGCCGGTGGCATGCCTTCGGCATTCTCGCGGTTCTTCTCCGCCCGGACCCCCGGAAAAACGATATCCTTTTTGCTTTCCTCCAAAAAAACGATATCCAGCTTGACCCGTGCCAGCTGTGCCGAGCCCTGGCATAAGCTCTTTGCAAACCGTGCTTCACCATTCTAAAACGATATCCTCGGCTCCTCTTATGAAAATGCTGGCTCGCGATTTCGTTATGAGCAAAATCGAAGATTATTGGACTTCGGCTGTCGAGCCAGTTAGCTACTTTTTAATTTGGATCATAATCGGAAGTACAAAGTTTACGAACCTATTCGGAGCCCTGTTTGCTCGGATAGATTTTCGCAATGAGCGTGGCTGATTTAAATTTCTTTGCTGTAGAATTAATTTGACGGTCAGAAATATTGCTTCCAACTTTTGTATTAATACTTACCTACTTCTATATCATTGGTATCGTCACTGGATACAGTCCATGCAAATGTGCAGGAAAAAAGCAGAACCTGCAAAGTTGTTAACTTTTTTTGCAAAGATTTGGGAAAAACTAACTTTTACAGCAAAAAGATGCATCTTCGACATTTGCAGTAGACGTTCATCCGATCTCCAAAACGTCGAAAGTCGTTGCTTCAACATTGACGAGAGTGGTGATGAGGTATTTGGAATAGAAACCGACGGAGCAAGATACGCGCAGTGTGCAGAAAATTTGTAGTTGCTGCTAGACTGCAACGACTTTTGGCACAATCATTCCCCCTCTGCATTATTGTTTGAGGAACAATTTGGACAGAATTTCATGCTGCGACCATCAAAAGCTCCTGTATTCACGTATCTAAAATGAAAATTTGCACTACTGTAGCCGACAAGTGAGAGTGAGCGAATGTAAAATGTTGTTTTCGTATTTAACAGAGACAAGATTATAATCAATTTGACGATGGTGGATGAGGATAAACGTCTATTTGAAGAAACAGGGCAGAGGTAAAAGCAACAATGGTAATATTAGGTTTGAAATCCAGCTAAACCTTATGGCTGCGTAAATGCATGATCGTTTCAACTCGCTTGTGGCAGCAAAATCCTAAAAACTAGCACAATCTTTTCCTAGTATATTTCAGAACGGCACAGAAATGATCAATCTGCAGATTCGTAAAACTGAACAGCGTTTGATTGCATTTTCCTTGAGCGATAATTTTGGTTTTTAGAAGACATCTTTGGGTAAATTAAATGATACAATTCTGTTCTCTTCCCAGAATCAGTCGGGCAAAGTTGTCAACATATACAATCCCCGCAAATACAGTTGCTTGAGTCGGATAATCTAAAAGCACTTTTGCTGCAAGCAGGCAGCATGATATAGACTCCACAGAGCATCTTAAAGATATATTTGTACAAAGTCCAAACAAGCTTAACCCTTTTTATTCCTAACACATTTGAGAACTGGGCTTGGGCTGTTGGTGGATTTTTTTTGATGGGTTGTTTATTCTGCCAGGTTCTAACTAACTTCGTTTTTTGCTCCAAATGTGGCGCGTCTTGTGCGAATTGAATAGAATAAATAAATAAATACTTTAGAAGTAAAAGATATATTCGCACAAGGTCAAATACAAATTCGGGACGAGTGGCAAAGTGGTATGAGGCGCCGCTGTGACCAGATCGGACACAGGTTCGATCCCCGCCCCTGGGCAAACCAAGCCCTCTACCCTCCGGGGCCGGTAAATTGATACCAGAGTAATCTGCGAGGATGAAAGCACTGACTTGGAAACGGCTGCCCCCCCCCCCCCAAGTCGTTTTAATAAGCCCGACGCATACAATTGGCTCTTATGAAGTTAGTGTGTGCGTTCGGCGCATGCCCTCAGAGGGTATTGAAGACGCCGAATCCTTTATCCTTTATCCTTTCAATAAAAATTCAGCAAGCCATAAGATCCGTTCATTTCATGTGAAAAAGCTTGGGTAGGGGGAGTTAAAAAGTATTTTAATACCTCAACTTGTATCAAAGATAGCGACTAAAATCTGCTTGTTGCTTGCTTCTGAAGTGCTTTCCAGTTCGATATCTGGTAAAACCTGAAAGCTAAAACTGAATAACTGAATTGCCAATAAATCCAAAGTAGATTATCTCTGAAAATCAAGTAATTTGAGTTTAAATGTGCTCTTCCATGTATGAGACCTCTCATATTATATTTATTAATGCAGCAAATATTTCAGGGAAAGGCTTTTTTGTAAGGATGGATGCGTCGCATTAAACCATCTTAGATACACATCAGTCACTTCGGGTGATATTTCTAAGTTATTTGTGTTGTTACTTCTAAATTATGTTGATAACCCTTTACCAACTATTGTCCAGGCAAATCTGGACGTATGAGGATCTCACGTGGGGGGCCCTGACTAAGCCACTGCCAAACCGGCAGCTCCGATGGTGTTCTAACGGCTGGAATGTTCGCTTCCGACTGGACCCCAGGGTCGTATTTGCATGGATTCATGGCGCAACCCTTCAGTTTCACGTGGCTCCTCGCGCGAAACTGATAAGTTGCGCCATGAGTACAAGTGAAATACGACTGGGGTACAGGTTGGAAGCGTATATCTCAGCCGTTGGTGAGTCATTTGCGCTGCAGCTTGGGCCATGCCTTAGTGAGGCTTCAACATTACTTTCCCCGTAGGTCCAGATTCAGCTGGACGCTGCTTTTGATAATCCGCACACAAAAGAAGAGAGTTAAATGTGTTTCAAAATTCAGATCAAACGAACCGAATTAAACATCCCCCCCATCTTATGCATAAAGTTGAATGTCCGTTTGTCTAATCGAGCGTGTCATAGGCTACTTTTGGTCATCCATCGATATAGAATTTATCGAACCTACGAGGCTGGAAGTTGGCACGGGGGGGGGGGGGGGGGGTAAGTGAGCATGCTGATTACTAACACAGCAGGAATGGGAAACTGGCATGTGGAAGTGGGCACAGGGAAAGGTTGTACAGGGATACGGACAGAAACTTATCACAGACTTTTGACAGAACCGATCGGAGCCGGGTAAGCCAGCTAGTCATCCTATAATTTGGATAAGCTCCCTGGACGGGCAGACCAGTCACCAGCTTCGGGAAATTTGCCGCGTTGCGGAAAATAAGGGGGGGGGAGAAGGTCAGCTGCTACAGATAGTGTGTAAAAGCGTCAAATTTGGAGAAAAATTCCGTAAGTTGCTCGTGAGTGACATACGTGTCTCGTAGGGTGACATAGTGCTATGGATGTTTTGCACGAAATTACGTACGTACTATCGGGAGTGAGAGAGAATCGTTGAATCAATCATATATGTTTGATCACAAACACATAAAAAATAATGATACCTATCTGTTTTCTTGCGGACCTTTTGTTTCACCTCCCTGTTTGCTCGACGAATCTCTTATAGCGGTCATCATCATTTATCCGTGGTGAATGATGTCAAAGATGGGCGGAGCCTAGCAAAAATCACCGCTGTCTGGTCTTGAACTACGGCCTTACCACTTGACTAGCAACATTTTATCATTCTGACCACTTCTGTGTGAATAGCGAGGATGTTCTTTTATTTTTTGAAAATGCGTATCTTTGCAAAGCGATCCGCTAGATTGATAGTACTGATGTTGATTTGTGACGGCGTAAGATCAACTTAAGCCCGCCTCAGGCGACTTGGAAAGACAAGGGCTTACTACGGGTCAACGCTTGTCGTTTTGTAAAGCCTTGCTTCATTGGCAGCTTTCTAGGAGAGAAAATATACCTTTAACACGAATGTAGGTATAGCACAGTTTTCGTACATTCAACAATACTGCTGCAAAAAGAAAGGTGTAAAGTCAGATAGTGGGACTTGTTTGTGCGAGACCAACTTTTATTTCTGAGACGTACATTGCACTCCGTTACTTTCGTACACTTCGTTAGTCACGTGCCACGCTATCGCACTGTATTAGGAGCAATCACCCGCCAATTAGCCGGAGGGTGCTTTTAACTGACAAATCACTTTGAGCGCCTCCACAGACGTACAAACAAAGCGCTCGAGAGTTAGCAGTCATAAAAATCACGGTGATGTGTCAACCTTCGTCATTTAATGAGCATAATAGGTTTCCTAGGCATCTAATGAGTTCTGAAGAAAATTTTTTCCGGAAACTAGATTTTTCGCTCATTCTTTAGAGATTTCATGGCGAAAAGCTTGCAGAATGGAAAAAATCAAATTTTCTGTCTATTAAAATATTCGTCGTCGCATCAGTTCTTGAAAACTTTTGTGACCGTTGCTGGATTTTAGAGCAGTTTTTCAGTCATGTGGCAGCTATTTTAGTGTACAAATGGACATCACTGTCAACTTTTGACCATTACCTAAGACACGTCATCAGTATTCTTGCCAATATTATTCATCCTCCTTTTTTGAAAACTGCTAGGAGTATGGTTGCAGCCCTAAAGCCGCGGGCATACCTTACGCGATTCCGATCGCTGCGCGATTACTCCACCGGACATGTGTGTCTGACCCAATTCCAATTTGCGAGGATTTCATAGCGTTTGAAGCGTTTGTTATTTCACGACTTCTCAAATGTGAAGACTTTTGAAAAAGTTGTTTTTAAGAATATTGAAAAAAAATTCCAGCAATTGATGTCAAAAAATTGGGTTATGTAGCATTTTGTTTGCACTAATCAACTGCCGTCTATGGGTTGGAGAAATTCTATATAGCCTTTTAGAGTGTTTGCCTATCTTTATTCTGAATGATTTGAGGAAAGATTTACGGCACAAACTAAATTTTTTTTTCTACACATAATATTAGCATGATTCCAAAAAATTCGATTTACGGAAGTTTGCAAAAAAAATCTCAAATACCCAAAAATCGACCCTGAAAAGGTCTTGCGTACCACCAACTTGGTATGCATATACTATACAAATTAGACATTTATATGTACACATACTGTATTTTTTCTCGGCTAAAAATTAAAAATAAAAAATAGCCAGAAATTTCGACGTTGCTTTCGTAGGTTATTTATGCTAAGTATTTCTTGACAATAGGGTTCGAAAAAGGCTAAAAATTCAATGTGATATTCAAAGGTTTCTGGAATGGAATCATCTTTGTCCGGACGATTCAGCATTTTGTTGAGTATGCCAAATTAAATTTTAGATCCAGCTATGACAGCAAGGCCGGTAGTAATCCCCCCGACCTGGCGGCAGGTCTCGTCGGCAGGTCGCTGGCACCTTTTCCGTGAGGTGGCCAGAAAGTAAGACCCCAAATTTGGGCCGTCCCAGGCCTTATTCCAAAAAATTTTCTCGATAAAGATGCCGCCTCGACTCTATAGAAAATTCCATAAAAGTCTGCGGTTCCAAAACTTCTTCTTTAGAAAAATATCTGGAAGCGCAGGAGGAGCTGCCGGCAACTTCGCGATGTCAGTTGCCGGCAACCTGCCGGCAGCTCGTCGAAATCCGCGAGATGGCAGCTGCCGGCAGGTCAGAGAGCACGGGAAATAGCGTGCCCTTTTGAGAGAGGGAGCTGCCGGCATCTCGACGTGCCCCTACCACGTCGAGGTGGTGGCACCTTTGCCGACGGCGTCTGTGAGTTTGCGAATTGCGGCGATATCACACAAATTACGTCAGGCAAAAAAATCAAAAAACTCTACTTTCTATCAAAAAACTATCGTTTTTCTCATTAAATGAGTTTTTC